GAAACATATTTCCAATATAAATAATCATTTTTTAGATCTATATTGAATTATATCTTATCATTATACTTCTTATATATATATATATATATATTTTTTTTTTTTTTTAAGATCAATTTTTAATTCAATAATTTCTATTTTCAAGGTTTATATCAAAGAAAAAATATTATTTCGTTGATATAGAAATTTCGATCATTATATGTTCTATTTAGATTCATATTCTTATTCGCAAATATTCAACTATCTAGAGCTTTCAATCATACAGGTTCAGATAGATATTTGATACTATATAATATATTTGAATGATTATATATGTATGTAATATGGATTGTAGACGAAGTCTATATCCGGAAAAAAGACAAATCTATTGAAATCGGATATATCCCAATAAACCGGCGCGTTTTTCGTAGTAGCCGGTATACTTTTCGTGTCTGGCTCGTGTAGAACCGGGGGACCCGATAAAGTCTGCAGTGAAGGCTGCACGAAATGGATTGAAGCTAGCACTTGTCACTACAATACCAAGGAATTGTGAACCTCAGGCCCGACATTACCAATTTCAAAGCCTAAACGCTTGAATTCTTGCAGGCGCCTGCCATTCTAGGTCCTCCAGGACTGTCTTGGTTGTCATGTAAGGTTGACTGTATTAGTTTTGGGGCTGACTGAATGTTCAGGGCGCGACCTCGGTTTAGCTCAGGGCTTGGTTCCGCACAGTAGCTACATCCATGCTCATGTGAAGTTTGTGAAATAAATCGGTTTAGGACCGAAGAAGTCTCGTCTTTCATCACTCATCAAAGGTGCACTTCCCCGCAGGTGAAATGTCGAGTCTAGATGTTGAATTCAAGCTTGAAAACTTCGACCATGCGAGGATTGTTCTAAGCTGCGACCACCGTTTAGGGGTTCTGCTTCTAATAAGCTGTAGTCACGCTCTTCTAGTCTACTAGTTGTTTGCTAAAATCCTAAACCCTCCACTTCAAAGTAACCTTCAACGGCACGCGAGCTCCTGAACAACCGTGATCTGCTTCCTCCAGTAACCCCTCTGGGTCCTGGAATCAGCATCTGCAGAAGCCTCCCCAGATCCTCCCCTGAAAGCCCTGCACCTACCAGACTCTTCAATCCCTGAGCCTTAACCCCATGAGCCTCAGGCCTTAAAAGCCTGCACAGATCGTCCTAGTAGATCCGCCAGCTATAGCTTGACAGGAGTCTGGAAAGCCGTTGTGACTTCCCAGCTTCCCGGCAAAGCGCGGTCGAGTAGACTGTCCACGCCGGATTTCGGGCTTAGCAGGTTTGGGGGTCCTGGGTGGAGGATTTAGGTTTGCAAAGGAACCTACCCGTTTTTGGATTGACAGCATTGTGGAAAGACTTCTGGCTGCGTCCTTTAGAAGGAAGGCTGGGGATGCCGATTGCTGCCTGTCTCCGTACTCATCTGAAAACACATTACACACTTTGACTCGAATCTCAAAGCTTTGTGGCAAGTCGTGACCACACTCTGTGCACGGACTACCAAGACAGAGGTCACTAGACCTCAAGGGGGTATCTATACAAATTAAAAGCCACAGATGTGGAAATTTTCAACAAAAACGGGATGTAAGGAGCCCAGCTTTGCTGGCCCCAGTCTGTACAAGTAGATGTTGCTAGAAGCCACCGAAAGCTGTAAACCTAAACCTTCATCTGAAATCCTGCTGGCACTCAGATGAGGAAGTGTTGCTTCTCGACATCGGACTTCGGGGTAGTGGGGGTCCGTGCGTCGCTCGGCCAGGCTCTCTTCTTCCACCAACACAGTGCCAACACAGCCTGACTGGCCCAGTGGTGCGGTTCAGGGTGAAGGTTGTGGCACTGCAGTTCACACTTGCGTGGCGATACGGACTTCGGAATATCGTCCACAGTTGACTTTGCCCGCTTGGGTAATCATACCACCAGACTATGTGAATCAATTATGTTGTCTTCCGTCACCTCCGATTCTGGTGCAGTGCAGTAGCATGCCCGGGGGCCGCCTATCTCGTGCACAAACGACGCGGATGGATCGCGCCCTTCTGGAACAAAGACAACGATGCGACTTTCTGGGTTCGATTTGCTCTCAAGGGCTGTCGTCATACGTACTAAAGACGCAGAAAACAAAAAGTCGTCATTCATGTGAGGGAACGCTTCTGTCTACGCATTTGTGCTGGCACGATCGTACTCAAGCATCTTTCTACTAAGTACAACATCTGCTGCTTTTTTTTTACAAAGCTTTCACACATCAACAACCTACGACATGGGGAGTTCTCTACTTCTTTTGCCAGTAGGCAAAGATAACTACATGTAGGTTACAGATACATCGTGGCCTCGTTTCAAAGGTTCAAGTCCAAGGAGAGGTGATAGGATGCTTCGTAGATGCAAGCACTCGGCGCTTGCCAAACACTGCATAGAAGCACCATGGTGGAGATGTGGCGTTGCTCCGAAATTCAAAAAGCAGAACCTTCGTCTTTCTATCGCTCAGCCTCTGTACGAAGGCAACGGGAGATCGCAACATCCGATTGAAACAGCTTCTCAACTATGATGATAATGAGCATTCATGTCTCAACCGAGAAACAAACCCAATAGACACATCTTGAGAATCGACAAACTCGAACCATCAAGTTCAAACACGACGTCACTTCTCCTGACTGCATGTATGGTAGCAGGAGCAGGCGCCAAGCAGTGGCAAAGCTTCTGCATGCTGAAGTTGCTGAACCAAGTGGCCAGAAGCGCCACCGATACTACCAAAGCGCAAACAATCCAAGCTGTTGGGGTTGAAACCGCCGCGATGAAGGTGCCTTACTAGTACAACTGCCATGGACACACCAGCAAGAACTTGCCACACCTAGCGCTACAAGGAGTGCTTAGGCGAACAAATCTCAACAAGCCCGAAGGACCCAAAGTCCAAATCCGACAATTGCGGAAACCTACACCGAAGTCCTGACAACTTGCTAATCTCAGTCCTCTTCTTTAAGGGCCCCATCTGGGAAATATGAGGCACACCATGCGACCTGAAGAAAGTCTGTACAAGTCCCCAACCTTTTTGTTAGCCTTGAGCTTGAGGGCTGAAGCTCCTAGCCACCAGGACCCGGACTCTCAAGAGTCTAAACCTCTGGTTTCGCCTCTGAGATGAAGCATGCATTTACTTTACGGAGTTTACCATAACTTCTCGGTCCACCGCATCAGAAGCTAACTATATGATAGAGGCCGTTTCTCGCAGACGAAGCACCTCAAAGCAAGCCCTCAATACAAGAGCGACCCGACTGAACAAGATGACAGAAACCCTACAGACACCCTACCGCGCCGGACATCGGTGTATCGGCGGGCAACCCCTCGCCGCTGTTGATTGCGCAGGCAATCCAAAAAAGCGATGACACCAAGGCGCTGGTGACGGGCTCGTGCCCTGGGTCGGCGGCGGGGCCCGGGAGGCTGGAGCAGCCGGTGCCCCAGCCTAGAGATCCGGGGTTAAAGACTTGAGGGTTAGGGGCGGAAGGTTAATTATGGTTTAGGGCGTTTAGGGTCGGGGTGGTTTAGGTTCAAGGATTTAGGGTCACAGGGCTTCCGACTTTAGCGGCTTGGGGTTCAAGAGTCTTCGGGCATAGAGTTTAGGATTTAGGACTGACTGGGTGTTTAGAACTTGGGATCTAGATTTAGAGGTGACGGTTGAGGAGGACTTAGTTATTTTGGATAGTGGTTTGGGGTCTCAGCTCGCAACCACCATCCTCGACTAGGTTTCGGGCTTAGAGTTTAGGCTGCAAACCCTTTTGATTCAAAATCGAGGGTCCTTTTTGGAACTTAAGTAAGTTTAAAGGTGGCAGACGGATCTTGGAAGGGCTGTCCTGGATTCGAAGGGTTTGATGTGCTTATCTCGGTTGTGTCAGGAACTTTCGGGCATGTGGGGTTAAGCGTTCTCTTTACGGTTTAGGCTGCGTGTCGAATGCGGGCCAAACCGCGAACGATGCGCCGGCAGCTGAATCCCGGAAGCTGAATGCTCGCTTGGATTCCCTCTGGCCGGATCCAGACCTCGTGCTTGAGGATTTAAAGGGGGGCATCTTCGAGGTATAGTCGCATGAAGCACCAAGATTACTGAGAGACTCATCAGCTCCTCAGCCACGATGCGCTCTATTCGAGCCTGCATCCCTTAATCTCAGATCGGGGCCTCACAGCGCGAAGCACTGTACTCCATGCCGACACAGTTTGCATCTCCCTCACAGAATGCTTGACAGCTGTCCTTGGTTCCGACATGCATGTGTGCATGGATTACACATACATACATACATACATACGTACACACACCCCTTTCATCCATCCATCCATATATACATACTCAGATACCAGCATAGCTACACACATACATGCATCCACACGTCCATACATGCATGCATACAAACATGCATACATATATCCATGCATACATAACATAACATATCATAGCAACATAAAGCCAGGCAGGCAGACAGACAGGCAGCCTGCATACACACGTACGTGCATACATGCTTACACACATGCATGCATGCAGGCATACATACATGCATGCTTACATACACGCATGCATACCCGCCTACCTGCACATGCACTGAGAGAGAGCGAGAGAGAGGTGAGAGACAGACAGACAGACAGAGAGAGAGAGAGAGAGAGCGGTGCAACAACACATAGAGTCGCTCACTCGCACACGGTCATCCTGTTTAAAACTAATCATCATCCATCAGCAGGGTGCATCCTCAAACCAAAAAGGCAACGAAGAGGCACGAGACCCTCGCACACGTCTGTCGAAGCTGCCGAGGCTCGATAGACTCGGCGTTTCTGACATAGTAGTATGTAAACCTTGGGGCGCTAGAGGGTTTCGAGGATTTATCAGGGGAAGCAAAAGGGGGTGAGGGTGTTGACAGGGTCTTGTGGCGGCATCTGCGGCTAGTGTCTCAGGCAACGTCAAGCACGGTCCGCAACACGTGGTAATGCCCGGTTGCAGTAGAAGTTTGTTTATGATTTGGTGCCACTTTGCATGTAGTCCCTTCGTGTAGACGGTCTTTGCTATGTCTCGGCTCTGTCGTAGTTCATTGGGGCACCTTGAAACCAGAGAGAATCTACGCTCGTTTGATGGCATGTCTCTCCGCAAAACTGCCATAAGTGTCCGTGAAAGGCACGAATACGTCAAAGACCGAATGCCTACCGGCTCCCGGCCAGCATCCCCGAGGCTCAAGGAGCAACTCTCACTCAAAAGCCCCCTTGTTGCTGAATGCTTTTCTCTGCTCGAATTACGTAAACTCTTGCTTCTTTCCGACCCCCTCCAAGCGATACAAGACAGTCGCGCTAGGCATTACTTGTCGTGGTTTCGGGCTTAGGGGCTCTTCTACTTGTTTGTCACTTCAAGCGGCGAGTTGTCACCCGGCCCATTTCCACGGCCTTGGATGTGACTGAGCATCCCGTAGTGACTGCTACATCTGTGGTGGCTGCTCGAAGTGAACGTCTAGTCATTGGACTTCTGCCTCAATTCGCGGCGGACGCTTAGCTGGATGGAATACACCCTACAGCATACAACACTGAAGCCGCCCGGACCTTAAAGCCTTAAACGCTGAACTGGGCCCGGAAGCCGCCACCGAAGCCCAACACTATTGCCAAAGTTGCTGATAGGCTTCTTCAGTTAGTGACTGTAAACGATGATAGGCAGGTTGCAAGAACATGTGGTGTATGTACACACCTGTGTGTTTCTGATTTCTGTTGCTTGTGTAATGTATGCATGTGTATATGTATATGCATGTGTATATGTATATGTATATGTGTCTATATATATATATATATGTGTGTGCCCATCTCTGTCTCGTTGTGTCTTTTCTCTCTACGTACATATTCATATGCATGTATATCTAACATACATATATATACACACACCCACATATTCATTGTAAAGCGTGTGCTTGCTGCATGCACGAGTGCCTGTGTATATCCTCCACACGATAGACCCGCATCTTTTCTGTTTCTGGGCCGGTCTATCTCCCGAAATACATATACCCACGTGTTTTCGCATCTTTCTGTCTGTCGAGGTTTCTATATCCATGTATCTGTCTCGGTTGGTGTGTTGGCAGCCTAGGTTGTCGAACAACATGTCCGCTGTCCTCTAAACTGCAACAAGGGTCTTTACGGCAGTTCTTCGCGGTCATTATGCAACTTTGCAGCACGCGATCAAATCCGAAAAGCTCGCAGTGCCATAGAGAGTTCAGGATCGAGGATGGGAAGCAGGACTACGAAAAAAGGATGTTGACAGCAGAACCAGTAGAATGCAGAGGTGCTGAACACAACCGCAAGACTATCAGTGTGTAGCATTGTCGTCCATACAAAAATCTGTGCTCCGAGTGGCAAGCTCGTCCCTCTGAGCCATCCACCCCTTCGAAGAGGGCTTGGCATTCGGAGCTTGGTCGCCTCGGAAAACAGGTACATCAGACTGAGGCTGGATATATTGTAAGCAGTTGCAAGACAGCAAACGGTTTTGCAAGGACTTATGTATGTTATGCTGGTAGTTGTCCAAACTGCAGGATCTGGTGCTGCGGTTGTGGTGCTCCTCTCGCTATGTATACAAGAACATGCATAGGCATAGGGGTCCTGTCACCAGCAGGCACTTTCAAATCGAACCCTCCGTGACTGTGCATGCGCGCTTTCACACCTTCGTCAGGATTCTGAAGACCGCCCCCGACTGAGCTTAGGCCAAGGTCTCTTCGGAGGCTCTGTCTTCTGTTGTCATTCCACACAGCTACTTCTGAACTGTCCAACGCTCTGGTGCATGCACAGCTGGGGCTCGTCATAAGCCAGTCCGGCTGAATCAAACATTCCCGACTCACCGCTGCGCTGCAGAAGCCTCCGACTCACAGAGGCAATGAGGAGCATAGAGTTATCGTAAGTCAGCAAGGTCACAGGAAGTGAAGGCACGTGAACCCGGTCAGCGCGATGGAAGCGCCGATTCGATCGCGTCGAGTCCACAGCTCGCAGCGAGCGCTGCTGTACCTGAGCCGCAGAATTTGCAGCCTGCAATCGAAAACCGAAAGCTGCAAACACTAAACTCCGTCTACATCAGGTATGTATGCTGCACATAACTAACTCAATATACGTATATGTCTGTGTATATATATATATATATATATGTATATGTATATAATATGTGTGCGCATACACATACTCCACACGTTCGTGCATGTACGTAAATTGTCAGTTCAATTCCTGATTGCAGGGACAGCACTCCTGAGGAAACTGCAGACACACGGTCTACAAACTCCAGTCTGCTCCTAGATGCTCCACTCCCACGCAGTTGGGGGTCTCCTCGCAAGCCTGACAGAAGGGCTGACTGTAGGCTTAGCGGCAACGTGGTGGCTTTCTTGGTGGTCTCCTGCTGTCGCGGTCACGACCGCAGCAACATTTCTACTCGCACACCACTTGGCAGTCGCAGCCCCAGAGCTCCAGGGGCCTGGGCTGGGGTTTGGACCTTTGTAAGACCGCCACGTTCTGAAGCAGCTTCAAACAGAAAGATGTCCGGCAAGCGCCAAACTTTCTGTAAGACTATAATTGACGCTGTCTTCTTGATGCATACATCGGACAACTGCCACTGCCATTGCCATTGATGACAACCTCCCGCCCCTCGCCTTCTTGCACAGTTTTAGGCTGTCCTTCTGGACCACGGTGTAATGTGCAGGAGAGTTGTCCGAAGAAGACTCTCCTGGATACGCAAACGCCGGATATCAACAAAAGCTCCAAGCACAACCACATACTTGAATCCGCAGAACCCATGTGTTTTTGAAGCCTCAAGTCCAAGAAGAGGCCAGAATTTCAAAATACAAGGCACACCGACACCTACCGAATTTTCGCAGGACTGCTAACGTTACGAGCTTATTCGCTATATGCTAGACGGCACCAAGCCCCTCTTCCAAAGTTGTGATTTGGTGTCGACCCCGCTGATGAAGGAACCCCTTCTTTACAAAGCTGCAGCCGTGTTGGTCGCACTGATGCAAACATGCAACCTCGTAAACCTGAAAACATAGTACTCTGTGGCCTGTACCCGGGAGATCACTTAGCCCTGAAACCTTGAATCCTGAACCTTCCATGTCCTCTGCAGGCTCGGTCGGTGCCGCCATCTACAGGCTCGAAGAGGCCAAGGTAGGTCGGGAACACCTCTTTGAAGGCTGCGTGTCTGCTGAAGGATGACATGTACCTCCTGTTCGAGCAACCATCTGGCGCAAAACTGGAAGCGCGCCAAGCATCCCACACCCTAGACTCGAAACCCGCACTAAAACGCACAATCACAATTTCTGAACGGGAAGTTCCAGAGAAGCCTTCGAGCGCATCGACCCCAAATCCCTTGCAGCACCTGCAGCTCTTTGATGCTGCAGCCCCAGGGAGTGGCCCTCGTCTGACAAACGATTCTGACGTAGCGCGCATTATGCTCCGGGAAGATCGTCTGAACCTCAGGAGCTTGCTTGTGGCAGAAGACTGCGAAGGTTTGACGGTTTTTAACTTGTGGTGAAAAGGCTTGCGGCTTAGGCTTCGTCGTATAGGGTCTGTTAGGGTTAAGAGGTTCAAGCCATGCTGACGATGAAATCTCAAAACCTAGTGCAAACATGTCCTGTGCCAATCAATACGCATTACAAAGGATTTTCGGATCTTAGATATTCTACACTTCAAGTTACCCACGCCCGGCACTCGCAGTCACGGAGTACCTGTCAAACAGTATGCTGTAGGTCAACTATATCAAAGCAGAAATAGCGCCAACAACAAACCCTACAGCTGGGAAATGAACTATGCCGCCGCGTTGAAGTATCCATCTGTTGGATACAGGCCTGGGCTATTCGCGGAACCCGCTAAATCTACCACAACCGCCAAAAAAATAATGCACTTGGGGAGTCCTCCAACACCCCGTTAACCACATTATTTGTCGCTGCTCGTTGCTCCGGGGGTCCACGACCGAAGACCCCCGAACACATTATCTCAGCCGCAATGTCCCACGCAACACAAACGTACTGGGATTCCTACTGGGCCCATCGGAACAGGGGGAAATGTACTTCGAACAGCCAAACATCGACCCAACACACCCCTCCCAGTATGTAAGGTTAGGGAGGGGTGGTACTATCCTGCACTCCAAAAGCCTATGTCCTGCAGATCCCTAAGCTCAAGATAAAAAGTACTTGCGAGGCCCAGACCTGCCCCTCGTGTCCATTCACCGCCTCTGCTGCCTGAGCTGGGGTGTGGGCTGCGGCTTGGGCCGATTCATTGCAGGGTGCAGCGGATGATAGGGCTTTAGAGAAGGCACTGCCCAAAAACAGTAGGGATGTGGGAGATTTAGGGTCTCCGGCTAAGGACATGCTTTCGTGCATCAAGTAACTGCCGATCCCTAAGATTGATTCATTGTCACTCAACCAGTTCGACCAAGCAGCGGTATGCCAGGGTTCGGCTTCATTCGACCGCAGCTGCACGGAGTAGGTGCTTGCATAGGCAGCTTCCCAGTCGATAGATACTGCGAAGAGCTCGTAAACCTTGCTGCACTTCACACGGGTACTGCTTCAGATAATCTGTGCAGTGGCAGCAGCTCAAAAAGCATAGAGTGGCAAATGGCGACTGGAGCCAGACACATTTAAAGTGACGCCTCTGTTTTCCTGCAGCAGGACACGCGGGGTTGCTGATTGAATGTTACCCTGATGGCAGGTCTTGCCGAGCATGAGATTAATCACGCTTGCAACTGTTCCCGGAAGGTCGGCAGGTCGGCATCGCGTAGGTATCTTGAATTCTGGAATCGAGCCGACCAAACCCTGGACATGAACAGTCGAAGTCCTAAATCTTTCTATCCCGAAAGCTAGAGCCAACACCACAGGTAGAATAAAAGGACGGCAGGTAATAATACGAAAAGGCAATGGCATAATGGGTTGCAGCGTGGGGAGGAGAAGGAGCAGCAGCAGGCGACTACCGGCTAACTGTCGGCAACCGACCAGAAGCGGCAGTAGCTGTGGTGTTGTGGTATTGCTCGAAGCCGTCGGCGTTGTCGAGGTGGCACCAGTAGCATCCGACGCCTCCTCCTCCTCCTCCTCCGACTATTACTACGATTACTACTTCGTAGGTTACTCCCACTACTACGCTTACTACCATCCTACTCCCACTGGTACTGATACTGGCACTGGTTCTGTTGCTGCTGCTGTTTATGTTACTCTTACTGTTGCGGCTACTGTTGTGGTTGCTGTTACGGGTACTGGTACTGGTACTGCTACTACGGCCACGACGACCTACAACTACTCCTACTACTACTACTACTACTACTACTGCTACTACTACTACTACTACTACTACTGCTACTAGAACTACTGCTACTACTACTACTACTACTACTACTACTACTGCTACTGCTTCTGCTACTGCTACTGCTACTGCTACTGCTACTACTACTACTATGATGATCTGGAAGATCGTGCATGTTGGGATTTGCACCGTCCATCTCAGCTCAAGCTTCGTTCCAAATTTATCGGATGATCCCAGAAGAGGAATCCAGACAACTGAAACTGACCATGGCGCTCGAACGGAATGTTTTCTCACTTCACTCGACAAAGCTCTGAAAGTATGTTGAGAGGCTACGCCCTTCTATGCCTGTGATGGCTGTTCGGCCTTTGGCCAAGTTCACGACTCTAAAGTCTTCTAGCATAGGGGCCTTGCACTCTCTCACTTGAAGAACCACAAGGGCTACGACAAGTCACTTCAAACGACGGAAACTACTCGGGAGGTGAGGGCAGACTCAGGCTTCAACACCCCTCCTTGGCATCGTCGCCAGACTAATGCCATCTCTATGGAAAAAACAGACTGAGTCATCCAGTCCCGAACCTCCTGTTAAAGCAGAAAGCACAAAACCTTCTCGAATCAACGTTGGAGTTTCGGATGGCTGCACAGTCTCTGAAGAAATGGTAACTCCCACCTTTCCTAGTGCTGTACATTGCCTCTTGTCCTGTCAGACAAAAGACTCGGTCCCTGTCAGTTTGCGTGGAGCCGTCTTGCTTTTGTGGAAGCCACCTCTCTACTTGCCTCTGCAGCTCCTCGCTTACAACCTCTTCAACCCTGCTCCTAGTCCCAGCGCTCCTCGACCTAGGAGGAGGTGGAGGTGGTGAAGTAGAGGATGAGGGACGGTCATGCATGCCGACACGGACAGGAGCCGGTGGCAACGGTGGTGCAGGTGGTGCAGGGATGAATACCTGCGTGCTTGGATACAACGCCTGATGACGAGCGAACTCACGATTATGGTCCACAGGATTAGGGCTTACCTTAGGGAGGTTTACAGGGTCAGGTCTGCAAGTGCCGCTGCTTGGCGGTAGAGGGCCTGAATTGGCAGGATTCTGCAGTTGAAGCCTTAGCTGATTCTGCACTTCCTTACGTAGCCTTCTATTCTTTGCACATCTACCAACCTTTCTTGCAGCAAACTTAACAAGAAACTTTCCGACCTCCCAAGCAATCAACACCCCTAGGACACCACAGCCTATGATAACATATATGCTCAAGGGATTTTCAACCTCCAAGGGGGCTTTGTAAAAGTCTACTTCTCCACCTTTAGGGCACTGGGAGTCCTCGTCCAAGAACTTCTCTCCTTGGGCCTGCTCCAGTTGCAAAGCTATGGTTGCTAACACTATGAGTCGCATCAAGCAAGCTTGTTGATTTGTGGAGTCAATGGCCTTGCACTCTGACTCAGGCCATACAAACCCCCAGAGAAGCATCAGCTCCTTTAGCCGATCAGCGCTCAGTGCTTTTGTGCCTATGTCGGCACGTTGTTCCTGTCCCGGTACAAAAGATATCTGAAGAATGCCACTGGAAAATTTTTCGCGGAGCCATCCATGCCTGATTTTAAGATGTCGTGTACGCCACGATCCAACTCCTTCGGAGCTGATGCTCACTGCTGCGGCGTTGTCTATCTTTAGTTTCTGAACAATCAGTCCTTTGTACACGTCCATCACCAGTGCTAGGACCGAATCATTCATCAGGGCAGCCTCCGAGGCCGCAACCAGTTCTGCTTCCGCTGTTGACAAGGTTATGAACCCTTGCCGTGAACTCCTCCAGCTTATTGGCACTCCTCTGTAGAACACAGCTGAGCAGCCGTGGCTCTTTGAACCTGTCGGTGCGTACGAGGCATCAGACCATGCACACAACTCCGGCGGGTCCTCAGAATCCGGAACTACTTTGAGGGCACAGTGAAAGGTCTCTTGAAGATAGGCCAGCGTCCTTAGACTGATCGAAATCACTCTTTCAGGCTTCCTAAGCGTCAAGCTGGAGGCTATGGCAACCGTGTATTGGAGGTCTGGTCTTGCTCGCTGAGCGAGCCATAGAAGTTCTCCAACGTGCCGCTGGGCGGCCCTGACGGTTGCAACATCAGGGGAGTGATCTGTTTCATCCTCCTCGTTATCAGCTTGGAGCCAGTCTTTGGGTGCTGGCACCTTAGACCTCTTACTGGGACTAACCTCGTGCGCTCGTAGAAGTTCGGATATATATGCTTCCTGCGAAAGCAGGAATCCACCTTCACAGGTTTTTATTTCTATTCCTAGGAACCTCAAAGGCTCATCGTCGGCGCGGTTGTGGGCGAATTTAAGCTTTGAGCATTCCCATATGGAAGATATTTTCTGATGAAGGAACTCCGTTACACCAACCGGGCCTAGGAAAAGAAGGTCATCTACGTACACCAAAAGGTATCCTTGGATTACGGGGTCAAAGTCTTCAGGGGAGGAGGACTCGGGCTCAACTCCCTCTCGCACTTGGTGAATGGTCCACAAGTTACTCTCTAGAGATCCCTGCTTTAGACCCATCCATCTACCCTGTTCATCCTTAAACCTTAAGCTCCTAAGCGTGGTGTTGCGATGCTCACTCCAATACCTTGGTGCCTCTCTGTAGCCGTACACGGCTCTCTGCACTTCCCAGACCTCTCCGGGCTCGACGAGTTCAAGGATTTCCAAAATGCTCGGTGGTTTCAGGGCATGGAAATGCCCTGGCGGAATTGGCGCTCTCAAGAACGCTGTGGAAATGTCTGATCCTGCAGCTGGCCAACCTTTGCTGGCAGCTTCGGTTAACACCGCCCTAAGAACTTCTGCTGAAGATCCTGCTGCGAAGAGTTCTTCTCCTGATTCCGGCTCGTGATTTCCGCAAGCAACGATGCGTGCTTTACGCTTGTACAGCGTTGCGGATCCTGGGTCTGGCGGTTTGGCCGTCCAAACTACTTTAGCCGGTATGGGAGTCACACCTGTTCGCTGTAGATACTCTTTCGCCTCTCGGCCACGATGCCGAATGATAGCTCCAAGGGATTGAAGGCTATTCAGCTCCTTCTGAGCCGCTGCCTTCCAAAGGGAAAGCCTCGCTTTCACTTCTTTAGGATCTACTGTATAGACCACACCCAAGGGTTCTACCAGACTTTGAAGTATCTCTTCAACTCCCGGTGTAATGACATTCGCAGAAGTCTTATTAAGGCGGGGCTGGTGTGGATAACCAGAACGAACTGGGTCTACTAACTCCCAAAACCTGTCTCGTCGGTCTCTTTGCGGATGCTGCATACCTGTGCTCGCTCTGGTGCCTCTTGCACTTGCCCACGGTAGTTGAAGACCTCGGTCTCCAGTACCTTGCGACGATGAAGAGGCCTCGCCCCTTTGATCAGGATTGCTTTGTGCCTGCGCGCTACCAGGTCCAATTCTGATAGCTTTGATGCACGGGAGCTCTCCAATTTCGACAAAAGTTGTACCTCCAGGCTGCTTTGATGTTCCCACTTCAAGCAAGTCCGCGATTCCCGGTTTGGAGACGCCCAAACCGGGAGAATTTGGAGGTGGTGTCTCAAGGTCCTGGCGATGCTGCTGCACGAGGAAGCGCAGGGTGCTCTCTGACGGATGGCATGCTTTCGCGGATATCTTGTCCCCTTTCGGCGGATCTACACCACTACCGGCAAAACCTATCCTTGGCACGAATCCGGGATGAGGGTTTATCTTAAACGAAGGGCCTACTTTCGTGGATATCTTGTCCCCTTTCGGTGGATCTATACCACTACCGGCTGCTCCTAAGTCAACTCCCCTCCTCGGACCCTTCACTCCTCTTTGCGCTGCCCACACCTTGACCTCAACACTTCCAGCGACGCTCTCACCCCTCCTCGCCCTACATACCTGCTCCAAGCGGTCGGCTAAGAGGATGAAATCTTTTGAGAAAGGTTTCGAATCAAGGTTGTCAACACCTGGACTCAAGGATGATAGTTTAGGGGAAGGCATCTCAAAGGCATACGAATGAGGCTGCTGATGGCAAAGGAGATGCTGCACCCTTGGAGCGTTTCCCGCTTCACAAGGTTTACCCGGAATCACCCTTGGAGCGTTACCCGCTTCACAAGGTTTCTCCGGAAACACTCCATCCTGCTCGCCTTCCGTAGGTGTAGTAACAAGCTTCAGGGTTTTGTGGTCGGGAAACCTAAACCCAAGCCCTTTAAGATCTTCCCGGGTTTGCTCTGGAATTTCTAGCACACCTCTCGGAGTGTATCCTGCAATGA